TCCTACTAAAAAAAACCAAACCTGTTGCCATCACGTCAATTACAACTTACAGTGACCCTATAGAACAGAGTAGAACTGCCCCACATGGTTTCCAAGGAGCAGCTGGTGGATTCCAACTGCCCACTTTTTGTTTAGCAGCTATAGCTCTTAACCACTGTGCCACCAGGGCTCCCTCACCCCCACTAGGATGGCCGTAATAAAAAACATGGATAAGTGTTGATGAGGATGTGGAGAAATTGGCACCATCATCTGCTGCTGGTGGGAATATAAAGTGCTGCAGTTGCTTTGGAAAAGTCTGGCAGTCCCTCAAAAAGTTAATCCCAGAGTTACTATGTTGTTAAATTAGGTGCCGTTGAGACTATGTTCGACTCATAGCGACCCCACGTGACAGAGTAGAACTGCCTCATAGGGTTTCCTAGGCAGTAATCTTTATGGGAGCAGATCAACAGGTCTTTCTTCCATGGAGCCCCTGGATGGGTTTGAACCTCTGACCTTTTGGTTAGCAGCCAAGCGCTTAACTGTTGTGCCACCAGGGCTCCTTAGAGTTACCGTATGACCCAGCAAGTCCACTCTTACTATACCCAAAAGTAAAGAAAGAATATGTCCACACAAAAACTTGCACGAGTGTTCGTGGCAGCATTATTCACAACGGCAAAAAGGTGGCAACAACCCAAATGTCCATCAACTGATGAATGGATCAAATGTATATCCATACAATGGAATATTATTTAGCAATAAAAAAGAATGAAGTGTTGATACATGCTACAACATGGATGAACCTTGAAAAGATTATGCTAAGTGAAAAAAACCAGACGAGAAAGACCACATATTATATGATTCCATTTATGTGAAACATCCAGAACAAGCAAGTCTGTAGATTTAGAATGTAGATTTGTGGTTGCCTGGGGCTGGGAGAGGGGCTTTGATGGCACAGTGGTTCAGTGCTACGGTTGCTAACCAGAAGGTCAGCTTGAATCTACTAGCCGCTCCTTGGAAACCCTATAGGGCAGCTCTACTCTGTCCTTTCGGCTTGCTATGAGTCAGAATCTACTAGATGACAATGGGTATGGCTGAGGGAATGGTGAGATGGGAGAGGATGGTAGCTAAAGGATACAGGGTTTCTTTTTGGGGTGATGGAAATGTTCTAAAATTGATTGTAGTGATGGTTGTACAACTGTGAATATACTAAAAACCACTTAATTGTGTACTTTAATGAGTGAATTATATGGTTATATATTGAGTTATATTTCAATAAAGCTGTCACAAAAAGGAAAAAAAAGAATCATGTTCAGCCCTGATGATCTTGGACAAGTCTTGCTGAGCATCAGTTGCCTCAACTGTAAAATGGGGAAATTGGACTTCTTAAGGGGTAAAATAAAAAAAGGTCAGGAAGGGCCTTCCAGTCAGATGGACCCAGGGCCCAGTGCTGGCTCAGTGGCTGATCCGCTGTGTGCCCTGGGACCACTGGCTTCCCTCTCTGGAATGTCAGTTTGCTCATCTGTGCAGGGGCATATAATTCCTCAACTTGAAAAGGGACTTGGAAGAAAGATCTTGGGGCTTTGGAATCAGGCAGCTCTAGGTTGGATCCTGGCTGTGCCACTTACTAGCTTCATGACTGTTGGAAGTCACACCTCTTCCTGAGCCTCAGTTACCTCATCTGGGAAATGGGAGGAATCCCAGCAGCCAATGGCGTGGAGAAGAAGAGGAGAGAAGCGCTGGGCATGGACCTGCAGACCTCATCAGGATGGCTCCAGCAACTACAGGGTTAACATCGGCACTGAGGTGGGTGGTGGGACCTCCAGGCCCTCCCTGCTCCATAGGGTTTTCAAGCAGTGACCTTTCGGAAGCAGATCAAACAGATTGCCAGGCTTGTCTTCCAAGGTGCCTCTGGGTGGGTTCGAACCCTCAGCCTCTCAGTTCTTAATCTTTGCGCCACCCAGGGCCTCCTACCAGGGCAGTATTGGGGTGGGGGCGGGATGTTAAATATTTTGCATATCAGTGCTGCATTCCACCAATATTTACCAAGCATCTCTGTCAGGCTCGGGATCCTCAAGGGGATTTCTGGTTGGGCCTGGGCATTCAATCTCACATTGCTATTCTATATCAAGTTCAGCACCAAGGAACACCCTCCCAGGAGCTCTGCACCTGTTATCTCTGACCACCAGGCCAGCCCTACCACATGGGGGTTTATTAGGCCTTTACAGAGGCAAAGATGAGCCTCAGGTCAGAGTGGACCAGGCCTGGCTGTGTCCAGAGCCCACGATGCAAAGCAACTCTCTTTTCTCAGCCTCAACAATGCTGGGCATTGGAAATCATTCTCCCGAAAGGGGGACACAGAGGTTGGTCACTGAAGGGGCAGGCTTTTAGGTCAGAACCCAGGCTCCAACTTCTCCACAAGCAGCCTCTCTCCAGCTCAGAGACACCCATCTGCTTCACTCTCCCCATCTCAGGAGCCACCCTGGGACTAGGGAAGGGGAAAGGTGGGGGAGGAGGGTCTCAGTGACCAGTACCCCCTCTGCCCCCAGTGGGCCCTTCCCTACCCTCTAGCCCTTCCTAATGACACCCCTTTGATGTGGGGATTTTGCTTCACAAAGAAAAGGAAACTGAAGCCCTGAGTCAGTCCCTTGTCTCAGCTCCCTCAGCCAGAAGTGGCAAAACCAGGCCTCCCACCCAGGCCTCTCAGATGGAACCAGACGGTCTCACCAACCGCTCTCCTGCTTCCTGAGCACCTGCTATGTGCTGGGCTCAGCCGGTCCCCTGAACCCCACCAGTTAACCCCCTCCCCGCTCACCTGGTCTGTTCAAGACTCTGGAGGGGGTCAAGACCCCATTTCACAGGCTGGGAAACAGGCCTGGAGAGGGTCTGCACCCTGGTCACAGTGCTGGGTGGCAGAGTGGAGCAGGTACCTTCCCAACCCAGGCCTCAGCCTCCTCACTCTCGGGCCAGCCACCCTCCAGCCCTGTGTGGCAGGGAGCCCAGTGCAGAGGGACCTTCGCCTGCGGGGGACCCCATCTGTGCACCCAGCATGGCCCAGCTCACAGGCTGGGGGATGTGAATGGGGCTCAGGGAACCTCCCCGACCCCCAACAGACAGGACGGGAGGGACAAGGATCCAGTGCCCAAGTCCTCCCACCCCATCCTCCACCTGACCCGTGAGAGCAGCTTAATGTTTCCATATAAAGGAGACACGGGGCTTAAGGTTCATCAACTTCTTCGTGTCAAAGTCACTGTCTAATCTGAGGCCAAGAAGCCCCGCCCCAAGGCAGCCTGGCCCCTAACCGTCCAAAAAAACCCCACACACCTTCACACTCTTCCCCAGAGACCCCAGATGCTCCCTACCATGTCCACCACTGGGGGCCTGACAACAGGTTGGTGAGCAGGGACTAACAGGAAGGCGCATGGGGGCAGATTGCCCAGAGACATGGGTCCACAGAGACTCAGAGAGATAGGCAGGTGAGAAAGTTGTTGAGGGGGGCTCTGAGAGAGGGGGACAGAAAGTCAGAGAGAGAGGGACAGAGACCTGGGTAGGGGGGAGGGACAGAGATCCAGAGAAGGGGGGTTGGGGACAGAGACTCAGAGAGAGAGAGGCAGAGAAGAGGCAGACTAAGAGAAATTGGGGAAAGAGAATGGAGATCATGTCTTAGGAAATGGAAAGAGACGGCAGGGGAGCAAAGTCGTGAACAGAGACAGAGGGCAGAGACAATGCTGTGAGGAGAAAAGGGCTCTCAGAGGCGGAGGATGAGTGGGTGGGTGGAAAAGGCAGAAGGGTGAGACAGGGCTGGCGCTGGAGGCACTGCACCCGGGGCAGCGTCCGTAACCTGTCACCGGGGGACGGCAAGGACTGAGGACATTGGGATTGAGGCTACAACCAGGAGGGTGTGTAGCAGGGAAGAGGGTGGCAGGAGAATGGGATGGCTCAGGCCCAGGACCCCTGTTGGGGTTCAGCACGTACCTGGTTGGGTGGCCCACCCCCATGCCCTCCACCGGGGGCTCCTCTGCTGGGATGCAAGGAGACCTGTCTGTGGGTGCCAAGGGGCTGTGTGCCGAGTGCCCGATCTCTGAGTCTACAGGAGGATCAGAGGCCCAGGCGCAGGGGGACGGGGGTGGGGCCAGCTCAGAGCTGCAGAGGGGGAGCCAGGGAGGCCAGCCAGGCCAGGCACTGGGCTGCAGCCCAGGCAGGCCTGTGAGGAGACGGCGGCAGAGACACAGAAATGGGGGGCAGGGACAGTGGTGGACAGAAGAGACACAGAGAGATGGGGACAGAGGAGACATGGAGAGATGAGGGACAGAGGAGAGAGATGGAAACAGAGACACAGAGAGATGGGGGAGACACGTGGGGCAGAGAAAGATGGGTTCACAAGGAAATAGGGACACAGAAAGAGCAGGAACAGGATGGAGAACAAAGAAAAGGCGAAACAATGATAAAGGGGACAAAAATAGGGGGTTAAGAGAGACCAGCAGCTCTGCAGGAGAAAAACCTGTTGATCTGCTCCCATAAAGATTCCAGTTCCCGTTGCCGGCAAGTCGATTCCAACTCACAGTGATCCTGCAGGACAGAGTACAACTGCCCCATAGGGTTTCCAAGGAGCAGCTGGTGGATTTGAACCAATGACCTTTTGGTTAGCAGCAAAGCTCTTAACTGTTGTTCCTCCATAAAGACTACAGTCTTGGAAACCCTATGAGGCAGTTCTGCTCTGTCCTATAGGGTCACTATGAGTCAGAATTGACTCAACAGCACCCAGCAAGAGAAATGAGGCATTGAAGAGTTGGGGGACATGGGGTGACTCACTCCTCCAGAGACCCAGAGTGAGTTCCTGATGTAATATTTATGGAAGGCAGAACTGGTACCAACCAATTGGTTGAGGGTGGGACAGAGTGGAGCAGGGACCCCATGGCCTCTCCTCAGGCTTAGCGGGCTAGGGACAGCTGGGTGCTGGATTCCTGCCCCCCTCTCCTCAGAGGGAAGTGGGGAAGAACCAGAGTTACACACCTCAGTCCTCGTTCAGGTCCTTTATTGGCCCTTGGGAGCCCCTCGCCTCTACCCCACAGCACCTGCCTTCCTTCGTCAGGGAGGAAAGTGGCCCCTCACTGGGAAACCAAGCTGCCGCAGTCCAGGGGCAAAGCCAAATTCTGCCGAGGACCCGCACCTCAAACTTGGTGGGGCCACTGTAAAGCTATCAAGTCCCCTGGAGAGGCCAGAGGTCAAAATAGGGTCCTGGGCAGAGAGATCAAAGGGTCCAGCCAGGCATCACAGCTGACCATCACAAAACACCCACCTGGGAAACCCAGCCAGTCAAGTCCTCTGACAGGTAGGGCTCACTGAGCCAAACCAAGTTCTTGGGTGGGAGGGTGTCACTGGGCTGAACCGGGCAGTTTAAGAGTGCCATGGCTCAAACCAAGTCCTTTGGTGACATGGGTCATTGGACCAAACCAAGTAGTTTTAGAAAGCAATGGGTCAAACCAAGTCCTTTTAGGGAACAATAAGTCACATAGAATCCATTGTGGTGGCCAATGGGCCAAACGCAGTCCTTTTTGGGGTGTGGCGGGGGTCTACAGACCTGAATGGATTCCCCCAAAGCTGGTCAGACCAGCTGCAGTGCCCGAGTGGAAGGCAGAAGGGCGGCGGCATCGCAGCCTCAGACGCTGATGGTGCGGAAGATGGTGAAGCCTGACAGGGCGGTGCTGACCAGGACACCAGGGCACTGTGGGTGCCAGTGCAGCTCCTTGAGGTCTGTCTCGCCCTGGTGCACGAACAGCAGTTGCTGCGGGAGGTCTGCCAGCCCAGGGTCTGTCTCCGCCTCGCCGGCCTCCAGGTCCCGCTCCACAGCCAGGTCCCACTGTGTGATCTGGTTGTCTGCCCCCGAGGCTGCAAAGACTCCGCCATCCTGGGGGTGCCACTCGACAGAGGTGACGGGGGCCATGTGCTGCTTGAAGGTGGCCACCGGAGAGCCAGACTACAGGGAGAGGACAGATGGTAGAGGCTTGGAACACCTTGGCCTGGCTCCTGGGGTGACCAAGACAGGGCCCTCCACCCCCGTCCGGCCTCAGGGTCCAGCAGAACTCCACCCCATAAGTCCTCACATACTCAGAGTCTACAAAATGACAGAGGTCACAGTGAAGCTGGAAATGGGGCTACTGCCCCAGGGGCTGCTGGGAACAGTGGTTTCCCCTGCAAAGGAGCCCCTCCCACCTCCAGGTCACACACATCCCAGCCCTGCTCCAACCTGGTTGTGTTTCAGTTTCTTTTCCTATAAAAGCTTGTCAGTGTTGTTGATGGGTGTCATCAAGTTGATTTCTACTCACAGAGACACCATATGACAGAGCAGAACTGCCCCAGAGGGTTTTCTAGGCTGTAATCTTTACGAGAAGGAGCCATGGTGGCTCAATGCTCAACTACTGGGCTGCTAACTGAAAGGTCAGTGGTTCAAACCCACCAGCGGCTCCACGGAAGAAGACCTGGTGATATATTCCCGTTAAGATTACAGCCTTGGAAACCCTGTGAGGCAGTTCTAGTCTGTCCTACAGGGTCACTATGAGTCGGAATTGATTGACTCGACAGCACATGACAACAAACAACAATTTCTGCAAGAGCAGATCAACAAGCCTTTTCTCCCACGGAGCGACCGGGTGGGTTCAAACCACCAACCTTTCGGTTAGCAGCTGAGTGCTTAACTATTGCACCACCAGGGCTCCTTGTTCCTAGAAAAGGAAGAGGTTGGGTCTCCAAGCACTGTCCAGGCCGATTCTATGAAGGCCTGAAGAAAGGGGGGGCAAAACCACGACTCCGGGAAGCTCCAGAGGCAGCAGACCCAAAGAGCTACAATTTAACTAAAGCAGACATGCTGCTGGGAGGGGAGGTTTCTCTACTTTGGGGAAGTGGCTCCAAAGTTTCAAGGCTGTAACCCAACCAGACACCTGCCCTTTCTGGGCCTCAGTTTCAGTGTACAAAAAAAAAAAGGCAGGGTGGGTGGGGCATCCAGAATCCATCTCTAGATGCCTTCCTGGGGCCGATTCCATGAAATCCATTAAACTGGAGGGAAATGAAATTACATGTTGGCCTCAGGAGCTCTGTGAGTTAATGGCTTTGTCCAGAGGGAGGCTGGAAGCTGTAAATTCTCCTGCCCCGGGTCCCTCTCAGCTCTACAAAGACAGGTGTTAAATCAGCTGAATGTCACGTCTGTTCCCATCCATTTTGTGCCCCAGTTTCCTCTCCTGCAATGAATGAGTGAGCAGCATGCCATTTCTCAGCTGACTCTAAAATCCACTAAAAGACCTAACAAAAACTACAACTCCCAGGAGCCCTTGAGGCCATAGGCCTTAAAGCTAGCTTTGCTTCTGTCCCAGGGACAGATGACAGTTAGAGTCTCTGCTGCCCCTTCCTTCCATCTCTGGTCAGCCACTCATCGGGCGGTGTGTGTGATGTGTGACCCCACAGCAGTCACAACCCTCCCCCTCGCCGCTTAGTTTTCTCATCTGTACCATGAAGGTACTAGATAGACTCTAATTTTCAAGATCTTCCCAGCTGTGGAGGAATGAAATCATTTGAGGGAAAAACCTACAAGCCCCAGACAACCCTGGGGCATCGTTGTCCCAGGGGTTGCTAGGGGCATACCTTGAACTGCCGCAGGTCCCAGACCTTGAGGGCCCCATCATCCCCACCACTAAGCAGGAAGGGCTCCCGGCGGCTCCAGCTGATGACGTTGACATCCCCCTCATGGGCAGTGGTTGTGGTGAGCATGCAGGCCTTGCTAGGGACTGCCCGGATGTCCCAGATGCGAATGGAAGCATCAGCTGAGCAGGAGGCAAATACCTGGGAGAGGTGGGGACTCAGTGACCCAGATGTTCCTCCACCCCACCCCAAAGACCAGGAACTCATGGAGGCTACCTTCTCTTTAGTGTGCACCACACTGGGATCTGGACTACAAACAGGACCTTTGTCTGGGCTCCGAGCCCCCTCCTCTCTCAGACCCAGGAGCCCAGCCCCCTCCTCCCTCAGACCCGGGAGCCCAGCCTCCTCCTCCCAAAGGACCCAGGAATTCAGGCCCCTCACCGTGTCCTCATTCGGTGACCACTGCAGATCCTCCACGGAACGTGTGTGGCCCATAAAAGGCCGCTGGTCCACGTGCCAGGAGCCGCCATCCGTGGGTGTCCAGAGGTGGATGTTCTTCTGGCAGTCGCCTGTCAGCAGGCGGCCTGGGGAGTGGAGTTAGGAGCCCACCTTGTCCCCCCTGCCCATGCTCATGCCTCTCCCTAGAGTCTAATCATCTACCTGGTTGCCCCCTCCCACCTCCCAGGACCCTGTGCACGCCCCAGGGTCTCACCGGGCACCCGGGGGGACCAGTCGAGCGCAAAGCCCTCGCCCATGTGGCCGGCGAAGGTAAAGATGGGCTTCACGCGGGCCTGCTCCTCCCGGAGGAAGGTCGCCAGGGCCTGTGGGTCGTCCACCGCCTGCAGCAGGCGCCGCAGTGCAAACACCTCCACCTGGCCCTTCTCTGACCACACTCCAGCCACAGGTTCTTCACCTAGCCACGACACCTGTGGGAAAATGGGGGGACAGGAGGCTCAGCACCCCTGACAGCCAGAACTGCGGTTCCTCAGAGCCCCGGGGCTGGGACTGCGGCTCCCAGAAACCTCTGTGGGGAAGGAATCACAACCTGCAAGACCAGCTTGGGAACCGAGGCAACTCCTCACACTGGGGTAAGGGTGTAGGGGGACAAGGCTCCCAACTCCTGAGAACTCAGCTACAGTTCCCTTAGCCCACAGGAGTGTATTCAGACACCTGGTCTCTGTAACCCCCTGGATGGTGGAGGGTCCCAGGGCCCCATCCTTGCATCTCTTTGCTTCTGGATGTTCGTTCCCTAGGACAGCCTGTCGGGCCTAGAGGTTTCCAGAATCCCCTAGCCTGGGCCTCTCTCTTGAACTCCAAACTCAAACCGCACTGATCATTCAAACTTTGTTGTTGTTGTTAATGCCTCATAGGGTTTTTCACGCTCTGACCTTTTGGAAGCAGATCACCAAGTCTGTCTTCCGAGGTGCTTTTGGGTAGGTTCGAACCTCCAACCTCTAACCGTTTGCGCCACGCAGGGACTCTTCATTCAAATTTAACATGACCAAAACCAACCTTGCGATCGCCGACTGCCACCTATGCTTCCTGTTTTCCCCACCTCAGGTTCCCAAACTTCAAGACTCATTCTCCACTTGTCTCTTCTTCCTCACACCCAACATCCATGCTGATGACATCCAAAATGCATCGCTTCCAATCACTTCTCACTTCCTTTGTTACCATCACTTGCACTGTTGCTGCTGAGTGGATTCTGATTCATGGAGACCCCATGTGTTACAGAGTAGAACTGTGCTCCATAGGGTTTTTGTGGCTATAATCTTTATGGAAGGTAGCTGGGTGGCACAAATGGTCAAGCACTTGACTACTAGCTGAAAGGTTGGCTGTTTGAACCCACCCAGAGGTGCCTCAGAAGATGGGCCTGGTGATGTGCTTTCGAAAGCCTTGAATACCCTATGAAGCAGTTCTACTCTGCACACACGAGGTTGCCATGATTTGGAACAGACTCAATGGCAACTAATAACAGTAATCTTTACAGAAGCAGACCGCCAGGCCTTTCTTTTGTGGCACTGTTAGGTGGGTTTGAACTGCCCATCTTTAGGTTAGTGTTGTTGCTGTTGTTAGGTGCTGCTGAGTCAATTCTGACTCATAGTGACCCCGTGTACGACAAAATGAAATGGTGCCTGGTCCTGTGCCATCTTCACAATCGTTGCTATATTTGAGTCCACTGTTGTACCCACTGGGTCGATCTATCTCATTAAGGGTGTTCCTCTTTTTCGCAGACCCTCTACTTCACCAAGCACGATGTCCTTCTCCAGAGACTGATCCCTCCAGGTAACAAGTCCAAGGTATGTGAGATGAATGTGAGCCATCCTCACTTCTAAGGAGCATTCTGGCTGTACTTCTCAGACAGACTTGTTTATTCTTTTAGAAGTCCATGGTATATTCAATATTCTTCGCCAACACCATAATTCAAAGAGATCGATTCTTCCTCGGGTCTTCCTTATACCTTGTCCAGCTTTTGTATGCATATGAGACAACTGAAAATACCATAGCTTGGGTCAGGCGCATCTTAGTCCTCAAAATGACCATCTTTGGTTTTGAATACTTTAAGGAGATCTTTTACAGCAGATTTACCCAATGCAGTACATCATTTATTTTCTTGACTGCTGCTTCCAAGGGCATTGATTGTGGATCCAAGTAAAACTAAATCCTTGACAACTGCAATATTTTCTCCACTTATCATGATATTGCTTATTAGTCCAGTTGTGAGGATTTTTGTTTTCTTTACATTAGTAGTCCAGCGCAAACTGTTTACACTACCCAGGGACCTACGTCACTTGCACTACTACTGATGTAATCCCTGAATTCCTGCACCAGCCCCCTCACTGGATTCTTTCCTTCTACCCTTGCCTCCCTGCAGTCCACTCTCCATACAGCAGCCAGAGGGATCCTTTTTAAAACCACAAGCAGGTCTCACCCCTCCCCTCCTCTAAACCTTCCAATGGTTCCCGATTTCTCTGAGGAAAAGTCCACATCCCTACAATGGCCTACCAAGACTAAATAATCTATCTCCTTCGTGTCCCTCAAATCTTATCACTCTCCCTCATCCATTCTGCTCCAGACACAGTGGCCAACTCCCAACTTTCCTTGAAACTTTGCAAACACATCAAGTTCACCCCAGGGCCTTTGCACTTGTGTTTCCTCTTGCCTGCAAACCTCTTCCCACAGATATCCTTGGCTTACTCCCTCACTTCCTATGGGCTTCTGTTCAAACGGTACCTTATCAGTGGATATTTCTCTATCCATATTATTTAAAATAAAAAGCCCACCCAGGAACACCTTAACCCCTTTAACAACGAACGACTTATTGCCGTCAAGTCGATTCTGACTCATAGTGACCCTATAGGACAGAGCAGAACTGCCCCCACAGGGTTTCCAAGTCTGTAAGTCTCTACAGAAGCAGACTGCCACACCTTTATCCTGTGGGGTGGCTGGTGGGTTTGAACTGCCAACCTTTTGGTTAGCAGCTAAGCGCTTAACCTCTGCACCACCAAGGCTCCTTTTAACCCCCTTACCCTGCTTTATATTTATTTTTCTCCACAGCACTTCACACCTTCTGCCATACTACCCATTTACTTGGTTTTTTATTGTTGTTCCCTCCCCTCAATAGAAGGTAAGTTTTCCAGGGACAGAGACCTCTTGCTCACTGCTGAATCCCCAGGATCTAGAACAGTACACTACCTGAAATATGGTAATAATAACTTAGTGGAAACAGATAGCATGAGCTATAGGCTAGGTGCTGCTCTAAGTGCTGTTCACATACCACTTCATTCTCACAACCCAATCAGAAAACATTGTAATTCTGAAGTACAGACGCACCCCCACAGCCTACAACAGTTCCTGAGTAATAACATAAAAGGGAACACATACGCTGTACTGCAACTAGGGCTGTCCCAAGCAGTGTACGTTACTTCATTTAATCCTCATGACTGCCCCAACGGTTAAGTTTTATAATTCTTACCACTTTACAGAAAAGGAAAGGAAAGAACGTATAAAACATTTCCACAGTTAAAACAGTACCTGTTGTTGTTAGTTGCTGTTGAGTCAATTCCAACTCATGGCGGCCCCATAGGTTACAGAATAGAACTACTTCATAGGGTTTTCCTGGCCGTAATCTTAACAGAAGCGGATCTCCAGGCCTACCTTCTGTGGTACCACTGAGTGGGTTCAAATCACCAACCTTTAGGTTAGCAATAAAGTGCAAACTATTTGAGTTCCTAATTATAACCAGTTGTCAACTCCATCCTGACTTATGGTAAACCCCGTGTATCAGAGTAGAACTGTGCTACGTAGAGTTTTCTGACTTTTCAGGAGGAGATCACTGGGCCTTTTTTTTTTGAGTTGCCTTTAGGTGGACTCGAACCTCCAACCTCTTGGTTAGCAGCTGAGCATGTTAATCATTTGCACCATGCAGCCAATAATAATTACAGTCACTAGGATATACAAAAGGAGCCCCGGTGGCACAGTGGTTAAGAGCTCAGCTGCTAACCGAATGGTCAGTGGTTTGAACCCACCAGCAGCTCTGCAGGAGAAAGATGTGGCAGTCTGCTTCCGTAAAGTTTACAGCCTTGGAAACCCTATGGGAGTAGTTCTACTCTGTCCTATAGGGTCATTATGAGTCACTACTCTGTCCTATAGGGTCATTATGAGTCAGAATCAACTCGATAGCAATGGGTAGTATATACAAAGATCATAAGGAGGTGCCAGGGCAACTATGGTCACAGGGTGGGGGTTTCACAGAATGTACAGCAGGCTCATAGGACTATGTGTACCCGAACTCGGTTGATGCCGCCATAGTGGGGCACCATGGCCAGCTCCAGCTGAGGCTTCCTCTCTTCTTCATCCTCTTCATCTTCCTCCTCCTCTTCATCGCTGCCTTCTGAGGCTGGGGGCTTCGTCCCATGCAGATTGTGCATCTGCAGGACCATCAGTCTGGGAGAAAGCGTGGGGTGAGGCATTGGACGTCGGGGCCTTGAGGGAGATGAACTGGAAATCCATACTCCTGGGTTTGTGGGAGGCAGAAACTGGGAGCCCTAACTTTCTGGGTCCTGAGGAAGGCGGGGACTGGAGGTTCAGACTCCTGGGTGTTGAGGAAAGAAGAGGCTGGGGGCTCAGACTCTCACTCTTGGGAAAGCCTCTGGTCTCACTCACCTGTTGCTCTGGGCGCTCTCCGCCTGGGTTCCAGCACAGAGGTAAAGTGAAAGAGGAAGCTCTGTCCGGTTGTCTCCCAGGTGATCCCGGACTATGTCGAAGCTAAGACAGGGGGCGCCTGGGGATGGGCGGAGATGGAGCATTAGAATAGGACTGAAGAATCTCAACATCTGCCTTCCTGTCTTAGGTTCAGCCTTTAAATTCAGACAGCAACTTAAGTCAAAGACCCAGGTCCAGCTCCCGCTTTCATCAGGACCCAGGAGTCCGGGATCCCAGCCCTACCGGTCTGAGCTCGGTGGTACAACACGTAGGCCTCTTCGTCCATGACCAGCTCTTCCCCCTCGCGCAGCGGCGGTCCCCGGCCAGGCAGATAGACCTGGGACGGGCCTTTAGACCTGTCGCCGCCGAAATCTGCCTCCATGGGTTCCCCAGTTTCACACGTGCGTCGCGAACCCTTGCGCGCCGCCATCTTCGAACCCTCTCACCGTCGTCGCGAGGTAATAGCATCACTTCCGGGTTGCGCTTTCCACGTTCTGGGGGTCCGCCCCGCTGCGCGGTTACCTTGGAAACCTCCCCATTACACCAATGAGAGAAGGCGGTGGGGGAGGGGTAAGGAGAAAAAGGGTGACGGCGTCCTGGCCAAGCTAGTGGGGCTTGCGAACAAGGAGAAACTACAACTCCCGCGTGACCTTGCAGCGCTTGGAAGCGTAACAGTGGCACGGCTTTCTGGGAATTGTAGTTTTATAGGACATTGTTTTCTCTATCGCCTGGAGGAGCTCTGAGCCCGGACTCCATCTTCCACCTTTGATTCCTGTGCTTTCTTTCTACTTCATTAATTATTCATGATTTGCAAATTTGCGCTTTTATTGGCAAGGAAACTCCCTGAGGACCCATAAAGCCGGGTACTTCTCCCGCTCTCTGTTATGATGGCTTTACTTTATTTCAAAATCTCAGTGTAAACAAGATGATATTGTAAGTTAGTTGGTTGAATCTATCCGCTAGAGACAGTCACTTGGCTAACTAGGCGTTCTCACTGTAGTTATGATCCAAACCAAACCCGCTGACTTTGAGTCGATTCCGACTCAAAGCGACCCTATAGGACAGAGTAGAACTGCCCCATAGGGTTTCCAAGACTGTAATCTTTATGGAAGCCGACTGCCACATCTTTCTCCCTCAGAGTGGCTGGTGGGTTCCAACTGATGACCTTTCGGTTAGCAGCCGAGCGCTTTACCATTGCGCCACCAGGGCGCGCGCTTAATCAGAAAATCCATCCCTCTGGAGGCAGCTATTACAAGTGCTTTGGCTCTCTTTGTTGCCCATCAGCACCAGAGGTTTGGCTAATGAGCGTAATGAAGTGTTAGCAATAGGTTCTCATGGGTGAGCGTAAAGGCATTCAAGATGTGTGGATTGGCTGCGATAAATCAGACATTCTCCTGGCTTACATGAACATGGTATTAAGAATCTAGCAATCCTTGTCGCCTGTAGCCCTAAGAATGGGATCCTCGATTTCATCCTCAAATGTCTTGTATCAAAGGTCTCTCTCACCCCTCTCAAGGTCTTGTCCTCCTCTCTCTGGGTCTGTCCCCTTCTCTCTGCCTCTGTTCCGTTCTGTTCATGTCCACCTCTCTCTCTGGGTCTTGTCCTCCTGTCTTTCTGGGTCTCTTTCCCTCCCCCACCCCGGATCTCTGCCCTCTCTCTGGGTCTGTCCCCCGACTCTCTGGGTCTCTGACCCCCTCTCTCTGGGTCTCTTTCCACCACCTTTTTCTGGGTCTTTGTCCCCCTCCCCTTTCTTCGACAGTCTCTGTTCTCTCTTTAAGTCTCTTTCTGTGTCCTCTTCCTCTGTGGGACTTTCCAGTTTGTTTTCTCCGGAAAATTTGCGGGGGTGCTAAAAGACGCACGGAGCTCACCCTGGACTGAGTAGGCATTAAAAACATCGTTTATTCCAAACACTGCAATGTGAAACAGAAGAGTGGGAAGGGAAGTTGGTGGTGAAGTGTAGACTCTCAGACCCTCCCTCAACCACCCAGCCCCAGACCCGGCTGGGAACCCAGGAAGAGGAGGCTTTTGGGGGTCTGGTGGATTATCACTGCAGGGTCCTGAATAAGGGGTGGATTTGGAGAGAATGCGGTTGGAGGCTCCTGGGGCTGGTAGGTACGACTGGGTGGGAAGTTTGGGCCTGAGGGTGGGGTCACAGCGGGGGAGGAGAAGGCGGGGCTTCCTTTGGGTGCGTGTCCTAGGTCAAAGTAGGGGAAAGAGACCGAGGTGAAAGAGGAGGGAGGGGTGTCACGGTTTGGCGTCGGGAGTCACAGTCTGGTTGGGGAACAGTCTGGGGGTCGGGTCACAGTTTGGGGTCAGGGGTCACAGTCTGGGGTCGGATGACCATTTTAGGGGTGAAGTCACAGTCTGGGGTCAGGGGCTTCCGTGTGTCGGGACCAAGGTCTAGGCTCACAGTTTGACTGAACGCATCTCACAGTTTTGAGTCCTGATGGATGAAAGGTTAAAAACGGGCTTCCCCGGAGGCGTGGCTGGGGCCGGGGAGCTGCACAGTGATGTGGGGACCACGGCCCCGGGAATGGGTGGGGGGCGCGGGCGTGGGGTGTCCCTCCCCCACCTCCTGCCCCATCTGGTGACATTAAAAAGCCCTTGTCGGGTTTTAAAAAAGTCCGGTGGGCTGCAAGACCCCCGCCCCCTCGCTTTCAGCTGGGTGAATTGGGGGGACCAAGTCTCCTCCGGCTCGTAGTTCTGGACGCTGCTCCAGGCGGGGTCCGGCCGGTTCCACGTCTTCCCTTGCCAACCGGTCTACTACGCGCGCCCCCTCGGGCCGTGGCCTGCGCTGACCGAGGGGGCGCTGGGGGCCCCTGGCCGCGTCATACCTCGGACTCCAGGCTGGAGAAGTGCGCCGAGCCCCTGCGGGTGCCCATCTCCCCGCCCCGGTGTCTCCGGTGAGGCACGGCGGGCAGCGGCGGCCCCCAGTGCGCAGCGTGCGG